CAAAATTGGGGTGGAACCAAACAAAATCGTACTGTAACCTGCATGATGCTGAGAGCTATGGCTAACGACAGGCGTAAATATCTAGCCTTATGTCGTAATGAATTTCGCGGGCCTCGATCTGACATCATTAGACAGGTGGCATTAGTAACAACATAAACAACAACAACTTTAAAGAAATACATTTTTGGTGTTATTTTAGTGTAATAAATTAATACACATTGAAGCAATAAAGCAAATGAGTAAGAACAAAAAAATATGGTACGGCGCATTAAAATAATACCAGAAACACACACAAAAACATGCCCTTATAAATCACACATAGTTACATATTCATGTTACTGCTTACAGCAAAAAAAAATTAAATCACCTGTTATGGCCCCTAAAAAACTAAGCCAGGTGATAAACTAAAATGAGAGTATAAATATTCATCTTTAATTATTTATATTAGAATAGTCGAAGATGAATTTCCTAGTGTGTGTTACATTTGCCCATTAAAAGCAAAATTCTGCCATGCATAATATATTTTAAATGGCACAGCGGACTTCCGTGTTTTTTTTTTAATTTTATACATGGAAGTAGATACTATTCAATTATACTATTTATCGACAGAGTGTAATAAATAATTGTATTATAGTTCACCTTGTTATGACGAATTTAAAATAATATTTAATTAATTCATGAATTATTTTTAAATTGAAGATTATTAAAATGTCAACAATGTATTATGAACGAAAAAAATGCATGAACAAAAGATTAACAAACTCTTATTATTTATCAAGCAATCATTTTATATTATTTTTAAATTGGAAATATTTCCAGTCTTCTTCTTTGACGTTTAACAAAGATGGCCTTCAGCACCCTACTTACATGTTTTTTCAAAGTCACGCTCTCCAGTTTAAAAAAGGTTTAACAACGTTAACTTATACTTAAGAGTGTATCAATTAATCAAATCGTTAATCATAAACTTTATCAGAAAACACACCCAAGTAGAAAGTTAACGTAAGCTCGATGGATAAACTATATATATATATATATATATATATATATATATATATATATATATATATATATATATATATATATATAAAGTGATTTATAGATGTCGACTCGCTTCACTGGAGGTCTACTGGTTTTCTTTTCTTACGGTATATCTATGAACCAAGCTTTTTATATAAAAAAATTTTACTCCTTCATCCAATTGTTTTCGGTCGCTTTAAGGTTTTGATACCACGCCCTCACGAACGAGCACCTTTGGAATGCCATGAATGCCATCAACAGTAAAATTTATTAACTTCATAATTAATAGCATTTTTTACTCCATACGTTTTAATTAAGTTTTAAAAGGATGAAAAATGTAGCGTTTAAAAATTATGAGGTATATAAAAAAAAAGGTTTGATTATTATTTTGATAGTCACCCATCCGGTTAGCGACACTTTTTGCCGTAGGGCTTGAATTTGAATCCCGGAGAAGGCATGGATGTTTGTAACTGTATACGTTGGTGAAGGGCTGAGAAGTGGGATGCCCTTGACCCTCCCCAGGGTGTTTTCCTTCAAAATTGGGGAGGAACCGAGTTAAATCGTAAGGTCACCTGCATAGTGCTCAAAGCTGCAGTTAACGATCTACCCCTTTGCCATGATAAATTTCGTGGGTCTGGATCTGAAGCAGTCGAGATCAGATGGCATTAGAAACAACATTATTTTAATATCCTCCTCCCCTCCAGATAGGTTTTTAAATTCGCTCATAAGTTCAAGGGCCAAAGGTGTTTTTCACATATTTCAATGCCTTTTGGTACTTATCGGTAATAAGCACCATGATTCGGTGACTGATTTTATGAATTGTCGCCATTAAGAACATTGGCTATATTATACGATACGATAAATTACCTTCAGAAACAATTATAAAAAGTCAAAGTATAAAAAAGTTTTATCAACTTTACCAATTAATAATGCAGTAGAGTCCCCTGAAATATTTGCACTTGATAACCCGACTGACCGGAACATTCGACCAACAGCCCTGCTATTCGAAAAATCCCACGTACCTACCCAAGAAAATAATGGAGATATTGACTTTGAGAGGACACTGTACAAACTCTAAAATATTACTCAGTGAGGGACTAAAGTACTGTCGAAGTTTCTCTTCTGTATTGTTAACAAGGGGTACGCCGGTTTTAGATTCACTGTTCTTTTGTCATCTTCGTGATGAAGCAGCAAAACGCTGAGTGCAGTACGGGAAAAAAGATCATATATATATATGTGTGTATATATATATATATATATATATATATATATATGCATGTGTGTATATATATATATATATATATATATATATATATATATATATGTGTGTGTGTTGTGTATATATAATCCAAAATATATAAATACACAGATAGCTGTAGAGGTTAAGATAACTATACTAAATAGGAAGAAATATAGGCACAGTAATACAATAACAAACTCCTGGCCTTAGGAACCAGGATTGCAGGTTTAAACAAGTTTTAGGGCTAGCCAACCTTCACCTGTAGTTTGTCTTACTACGTACCAAGAGGAAAGGCAAGAATAACATTAGGAGAAATTTAAATATTATAAATAAAATCACTAATATATATATATATATAGTCTAATTCTCTACAAACAAGAGATATGCATCCATCAATCACATTCGAAAAACACATAGACAGTAGTAAAATCACACAACGAAGGACACATGAGCAACCGAAATTAAAAACTATAAAATGGATGCTGCAGTATAATACTCTTAAAATGTACATTACTCGAACAACGAGGAACTTTTATAATATTGAAATTAAATTCTTCTCTTTTATCAAAAAAAATAAGAACTATTACATTAATCTTTTAATTTGATATGCATATCAAGAAAATTTGCTTCATTGTTATTACTATTTTTCTGTATTAAATTAAGATATTTTTTTAAAAATTAGTGTTAGGTATAAAATTCACTTGCTTGCCAAAATGATTATGTCATCTATATAGCGATAAATGTAATATTTTGAATTATTAATGTAAACTATTTTCTAAATAATGTAAATATAAATTGGCAAGATAGTTGCTCGCAGGGACTCATTGTAGCAAACCTTTAATATACAGATACTAGTTATATATACACACATTTCTTTAAAAAAAAAAGTAGCCACTTTTGCAAAATCTCTCGGCTACTTAATTTTCATTATAGACACCTTTTTGCCTTCATAAAGTATTTTTCTGAGGTGTATCGAAACAGGTAAATTACTGTATACTATGCATTCATTAAGTTTCATTTCCTGTAGTAAATATACTCTACGCCTTCATAAAGTACGAACTTTTTCTTTGTAAGGGTATTTGTGCCGTTTAATTTCGGTTGTATGTATGGTTTTCTTGAGAAGAAAAATACAATGCAATATGTTCTGGGAAACACTCGTATTTATTCTTTTTTAATCCGATTCCATTTTCATCAACTCAGCCGGATATTGGTCCCCATTAGGTTGTGTTTTCGGAACTCCACTTTATTAACAACCATGGACGATCCCTTTCGTCGTATCAAAAAACGTCGCCAAATGCCGCGATATACAGCCAACAGTGGAAAGCCCATCCGGTGCAATTTCAAATAAAATAAAAATTGACAATACAATACGAAATGCAATTCAATAAATGAAAAGTAATAACAGCATTTGAGACATTTTTTGGATTAGTGACGTTTTTTTAAATTGTCGTAATGGGTCGACTGTATAATGCGTAAGTACCAACAGTCATTATAAGTCAGAAGGAGGTGTGTTTTCTAGAAGCTGCTGTCTTTGATTTCGTGATTATCACAGCCAATAATTTAACGGCATAACAGATAGGAAGTTATTGATATTCAAACTAATCGCTATAAAAAGGTTGAATATATTGCTACTTATTTATTATATAAACAATCGAGATATGTATCATGATATTTAAAAAAAACACTACCACCTCTTTTCATAGTAATTGATGTATATCAGAATTTATCTCGTCTTGTGTAATGTTTGTCTTCCTGAGATGTATACTTTAAAAAAAGCCCCAAGAAGCAGTACATTAAAAAACATTATAGCTTTGGATTTGAATTTTTTTTATATTTGGAAAAATACCTAATGAAAAAATTCAAGAGATTTTGATTAATTTTTGAGGAATAACGTCAAAGTTTTAAGAGAGATATTCTGCTACTTTTTCAATTTCTACTATTAATTCACACTCTCCCCATATTTATTTATATATATACATATACAAAGGCGGTTATTACTTTTAAATGAGATATATTTATATTTTCGATTAAGTTCATTTCGCAATTTCAGTCCCTTTATATAAATATCTTGTTCAAATTTTCAATCGTTAATAAAATACTTTTTTTTCATCCACTAAAGTTCAAATACATTTTTTAAACTTGTAGTAGATGACACTTAATGTTAATACAGTATTTTCAATTATTAATTCATTAAATTAAATTAATTAATTATATTTTAAGAGAAATATTTCAGTTTATATCATTTCTCTAGAGGGCTGCACCATTAGATGAAACAGCTTTTGTAACATTTGTGATGAACATTTAACTTAACCTAAATAATCATTTGCTAGTTAGGCGTCAGCATTCCTTTTACACTGAATTTAAGATAAATGCTTAACTATTATATTAAACTTTTTATTAAAAAAATGCAGTTAAAAATTTAATGTGGTTAAAAGTTATTGATGTTAATTTAAAAAATGTTTTACCACTTAATATTGTGAATCTGTCATATGTATATATATATTTATATTAAATATAATTATTTAAGGAAAACAACTAAAATAAAAAATTTTCTTTTTTGACCTAAGTAGGAATTGACTTAATTTTTTTTTTGATATTACTTGTTAAGAATATGTTTGTTTCCCACCAAAAATGTCAATTTTAAAATTCACATAAAACAACATGCAAAATCGATAAATAGTAACAAATAAAAAAAAATAGTTCAACGCACATACAATGTATAACAAGGAAAACCCTTCGTTGTGTCCCTGTAGTGCAATTGATAGCGCGTTGGACTTCGAATCCAAAGTTAGTGGGTTCAAATCACACCTGGAATGGCTTAATTTCTGAGTTTGGGATTTCTTTTTATCATACTATTTTATTGGAATAACTAAATTTAATTAATGAATAAATATTAACAAACAAAAATAATAGTCCAACATATCCTATGTGGAAAGGAAAAGGGAAGAATAATTGCAGGGAAAATCGCTTTTTATTTTGCCATTTAATATTGTGATTCTGACATATGTATATACATATTTATATTAATTGTAATTATTCATTTAAAAGTAACTAAAATAAAATTTTTCTTTGTTGACCTAAGGATTAATTGACTTAATTTTTTTATTACTTGTCTTATTTTGAAACGCTACAAAATTAAATTTTATAAAAAGAAATCCATAAGTTATAATCAGCTTTCAATATTTATTTCCTTGCAATGTCTTATTGGGAATTGGATGTGGAAAAATTTTAAAGTATCATCGTCTACATAGAAAAAATTGCAAAAATATTTAATTTTGTATTGATTATTTTTCATTTATAATTAAATTTCGAAAAATAGATTCGAATAATTTATTCCTTAACTATATTGGAAAAAACAAAAGGCTTTTAAAAAGATGTAGAAAGAACATAGATTATCTATAGATTGTTATAAAAAAGTAATTTATTTATATGATGAATTCAATTTAGATATTGAAATGGATAAAATAGAATGCAAATAACTTGTAAAATGAAAAAAACAGAATTCAGTATTCCAATACTGTAGAAATGAAAATATTAATACTGCAGAATTTTAAAAATGGAATATCTTAGCAATAATGATTAATCACAAAGAGAAGGTTACAGTTTTTTTCTGAACTTTTTCCATAAAACGATGTTTTCAAGAGATCTAGGGATTTTGGTCTTAAGTATTAAATTAAATTTATAAGATGATAGAAAATTAGAATTAAAAAAATAAAAACCCAATGAAAAAAAATAAATCTCAAATTAAACATCTTTATTAACGTAGTTATATATATATCATAATGCATTAATTGAAGCATCAGGAGGGAAATAAACTAAAACAATTCTTCATTAATTGCATTTGTATTATAGTCTATTAGAAAAATTGTTATTATATTTATAGATTGCATTTTTTTTATCAAAAGATCTGCCTAGAACACTAACTGTTGAATATTTTTCTTTAAAAGATTTAATTATCTATTATCATATTTTCCAACAATTTTCTTGAATTATTTTAAAGAATTTAGTAGAATGATAAATAAGTAACTGAATTTAGTTTAATTAAATCCTTCTTAAGTTCTCAAAGCAAAATAATTTTTGACTTCCGTTTCTTTTTAAAATGTATATCGGTTAAAATTTGTAAAAATTAGTTTATCCACGTCTTTTGAAAACAACATATAAATACATTTAAATTACTATTTTAAAAACTTTTTAATTCCTTACTAAAAAGAACTTTATTAATTATTATTACTTTAAATCTGATAATTTATCAATGCAATACATCAAAGTCATATTTAACGAAATATTATTTAACTCCTTATAAGGCCATTTTTCCCAGTAATGTTGCGTTAAAATATTTATGGAATAAAGATTGGTTGATAAAAAAGGAATTCATTTAGCTAATTACTTAAAATTAGTTCAATTTTTAAGACCGTTTTATTTTTTTTGGTGAGAAGTTTATTTTCCACCACCTACTGGGGGGGGGGTGCTATTTAAAGGTAGGGCAATTTATGTTTAGTGTTTCTATTTGTATTACATTTCATGATATTAATAAAAATAATTCGTGAATAATACAACCTACTGAAAAAATTTATATATATATATATGTATATATATATAAATTCCTTTTTTACATAAAAAAATGTAAAAGTTTATAAATACTATATTTCATGAATTTTCACTAAATTAGGATCAATACGTTGTGGAGTGAGTGAATATTAACGACACTCTATTTAGCTATACCAGAGCTTTCGAAGACGGACCTCGTCATTGTGAACCATGGTCAAGTGACGAGGACGACGCTTGAGCTGGCACTTCCTCTCCTAACTTCCATACCAGACCAATGGGAGGACGTTTATGCCGGGAGAGATTTATAAGTAGTGGAGCATTACAGGCTATGCATATGCTTTAGTAAAGCTCAAACGGCAACGTCTAAATATTTTTTGTCAAGTTCGAATAAGGTCACCACTCTTGCGTCATCTGAAAACTTTTTCTTACGGCTAGGGGCGATTTACATGTCTTCCTTAGCGATTGCGAAATTCAGATATCAGTTGTCATTCTAGCCGAAGTGCTGCAGCACAAATCATAGGTGAGAAAAGAATTTACCATCGACATTTAAAAACTAATTAAGTTGGCGGTAAGAATACTTATCATGGCCTTATTAAGGGTTATAAAATATCTAAAATATGTATATATTTTTAGTATTTTCTATTTATTTTTATTTTATGTTTTCAACAATTTTTCCAATTTTTAGTACTCAGAAATATTTCTTTAGAACATATTTTAGAAGGCACAAATTTACAAAATACATATTTTTAACGGATTATCTCTAGCTTTTCCTCCAATGTAAAAAGTCTCATTACCTTTCAATATTAATCATCCAGATCAATTTTCGAAGATTTGTATAACTCATTACGTTATGTTACGTTGCTACATTTAATTCGTATAGATTATATCTAATAACATTTAATTTCATAGAATTATCTAGTCGTGAAAATGAAAATCAAGAAGAAACCATCATTAAGGTAATGAAAGAAAATTTAGAGGACAACGCGCTATTATCACTCACGCCTTGAAGTTCAATAAACATCGCGAAGGTAATAACACTGTTGCCATTCTGCATTCAAAACATACGTGAAGAGAATGATGGATGATATATAAAAAGGCTCTGCTCTAATGTTTTAGCCACTTCAATGACGTATAATTGATAATTATGTCGCAGAGATCTTGAGATTATTTTAAGTGCTATTAAATTGTTTTGTTTTGCATCGAGCAAAGTGATTCAACTGGTATAACGCAAAATGAAATAATAATCCTACAGAGTCATGGACGTGGAATATAACAGTAAATTTCTAGAACTCTTAAAATATTTCGTAAAATTACAACCAAAACAAGTATTACTCAAATAGTTTCGAAAGAAATATCGAATGGAGAAATATATACATCTTAAAATTCCTCAGATTTTGTTTTCAATAACTGATTTTTTTTTAAAAAAAAAGATAAGACATTATGAACACAGAATAAAATTTTAAATTGTTAAAAAAAAGTTCAAATAAATTAAAATGTTGCAACAAACTTTCCTGTTTGATTTATTTTTGTTTTTAAATTTTCGGTTTTTTATTTTAGTTTAAAAACACTTTTTATTTTATGTTCTTTTCTGATTGCAAAATAATTCTCATCTGCAAGATAAAGTAATAACTTTTTTCATCAGAAAAAAAAACATTTTGGATGGTAATTATATAATTCCTTCCTTAACTATTTCATTTGTTTAAACATTAACTTTATATTCTGAAGCAGCGTACAGTATTTTGTCGATGGACCTCCAGTTCAAAACCATGGCCACATGGCGAGGATAATACCTGAAATAGTACCTCACTCTCCATCCTTCTACAATACGTCAACTTGAGGACTTTGAGCCTCGGCAGATTTAAATAGCCTACGTCTTAAACATAGTGGGTGAATATTAACTTCGTACTATTCAATGAGACGAGGGAAAGGAAATGCGCCTAGAGCTTTAGTCTTTTACTTTTCTTCAGTTCCAGTATTTATGTTTTATAGATTAAACTATTGTGAAATATTTCTAAAATTAATCTTTTATAAAGATGATACTAATCAGAAAGGATTATTATAAATGAAATGCTCTGAATTTTATGATCTAATTGTATGTGTACTTTATACTATCATTTACTCTGAAAGCACGTAATCTCTTTCAATTCCTACTATTAGCTCACACTCTCTATTTATTTATTTATCTTGGTGGAATTTTTAATCGTTAATAAAATACGTTATAAAGCACTCCATTGAGCTAAAATTTTATATACATGATTATTTTGGATGACAATACAATAATTTAATTGTAATTAATGAAAGTTAATTGATTAAAACTAATTATTTAAAAAATTAAAAAAAACAGCCACGTTGGAATCATTTTTGGAGACTTTGCGACCCTTTTGGTGACTTGTGTCAAAACTTGAAAAGGTTTTTTTTCCTCACGTTTGAAACCATTCAGTTGAACTGAAATTTTACTGAATTGTTTTGGATGAAAATACGATACTTTAATGATAATTGATAAAACTTAATTACCGTTGTGATTCTGTCCTATATATATAAATATTTATATTAATTGTAACTATTTAATATAAAGTAGCTAAAACAAAATTTTTCTTTGTTGATCTAAGTAGAAATTGGCTTAATTTTTTTTATTATTACTTGTTTAAAAGATGTGTACTAATGCTGACTACAAATCGGAAAAAGAAAGATAATTTTAGGCAGACAACGATAAACATTTTCAAAAAATTATAAACACACCTTCATGTAGTAAACACTGAAATCAAAAGGTGTAACTGAATATTTTTTGAAAAAATTATATTGCTTTTAGCTCTGTTTGGTTTCCTTGACATAGGGACTGTGTATGTGTATTTGATGAAGCTGAATAAACATTTTTCAATTTATTTAGATAAGTATATTTGTGACCTAAGCACAACTCTGAAAAGGGAAGAAGAGAGAGAATGGGGTAATTAAGTAATAATCAAAAATAGAGAAAATCGTTAGGGCCTCCCACAGCATGTCAATTACTAAAAGCATTAAGGAGAATTCACTTTGTCACTTCTGAGTCGTTATGTCAGTGCTTCTTCTCAAACTTTCAATACTGGCGCCCCCCTTTTCGATCACAATTTTTATCGCGTCCCCCTTATACATTAATAATGTACTGAATGTAATAATAATGCACTTTGACGCTAAAGCTACAATAGGCGATCTTAATTATAAACCATACAAATTAGTAACATAAGTATTAAATTTTGTATATTACTTTTAAGCAAAAAATAAATAAATAAAA